ATTGAAAAACAAAACAAAAAAAAAAAAAAAAAGAGGAAAAGCAAATTCTCGATAGATTTCCATCTCAAAGCTTTCGATAAAGCTACGTAAAGAAAATAATGGATGTATGTTTCCTTTGCGAGTTTTTGTACGCGGTTGTGTGTATTTGACAGATTTTGCAGGGGGAAATTTTTACAGTGTGGACGATAGAAAGCGCGACCGAGCCATTTTTATTTATCGTAATAATGAGATTTCGTAACCCTTTTTCTTTCTTTTTTTTTTTTTGCCACCCAAAGGAAAGTACAACACGCTATGAAGAAAGTCGAGATTAGATTAGACGGAACGAAACGATCGGATCTCATCGTACCTTCGTACTAACAATTCTCAGATTTGTCACGGACCGTTCTTCTATCGGTTGTAATAAGTGCGAGATAGCTTCAGACTAATCCACGTTTCCCGTCGGTGACGTAAACTCACAATCGCGTCGGTGATTAACAGACGATATCAGTTCTTATCGCGAAGGGATCTTTCGTACCTTTCCACGTAACGTTGACATGTCGTTTATAAAATTCCACAATTCTCGAGAAACGACGAGATAAGGCCTCGCGACACCGAGTCCATTAGAATTTCAAGGAATTACAGGCGGCGTAATCGGACAATCAACCGAGATCACATTTTTACCTCAAACAAATCGTGCAATTAAGCGATAAATGACAGAAGCTTTTATAGTTGAACGTTTAGTTCAAAGTCTGGTTTCGAGAAAGACGATGGTGTTTGGACGAACGATATCGTTCGGTTACATACAGAAATTTAGAGGAGGAGGATTGTCACGATTCTGCTCGATTAACTTCCAGTTACAAACGATTTATACAATCACCAGTTGAATCACGAGTCAAAATTCGAGGAAATATATAGAAATTTAATCGATTTAATCGAGAACAAGAGAAATTTGACAATAGTAAGCGAAGCACGATTAAGGGGATAGTTTCCTATAACAAATCGCGCCTTGAATATTACGTACCACTCTGTTTTTATTAATCCATAACTGCATTATTTTCAATCGATAAGCAAAATAGTGCCAATCCATTTATTTTCGACATCTAATGCACCCTTGCATATCCTTCAATATTCTATATTTATTGAATACATTTTCGAGTACAACATTCGTGAAAAATTTCTACAATACAAACAAAAGCATCGTGTGACGCGAAATCGAGTCTACTTGCGTAACGCAAGGACACATTTACCCCGACAATCGAAAAGCTCGAATATTTCAACCAACGCGCCGAGGAAGAGAGAGCGTTCAACCCCTATTTTCCCTATTTTCAATCAACGACCGAAGGCGGTTTCCACCGTTGCACGTCGAATCCGCATCCACACCGGGAGAGGCGGCGTCATTGGCCGCTTTATTTCCTCTTCTGGGTCGCAGCGTGCTCTCCAGCCGCTGCGAAACAGAAGAGAAGAAGAACCTTCTCTTCTCCTCTCCTCTCTTCTCTTCGTCTTCTTCTCTACTACTTCCGTCGTTTCGTTAAGACCGTGCACACACGCTCGCGCATATTCAAGTATGCACGTGCACAAACACGCAGTAATAAGGCGGCGGAGTAGGTAGGTGAGCTATTAAATATGCATCTCGCGTCATTCGGGGGACGCGGGTCATTATTCCATCCGTTGTCTGTCCAACGCGCTGCGCTAAACTCAAGTCCATCCGCAACAAGCTGTCGCGCCCTCGATCGAACTGTGCACGTCCTCCCTAATTCTTTCTGTCGAATCGAACGACCCGAAACCGGTGGAAGCATCGAAGAGATCGTTTCGGCTTGTTGGGGGGAGGGTGGGACGAAACCAGAAGAGAACTTTCGCAAGTTTCGGTGAAATTTGTTTCAACTGTTTCGTGAGGAACGCTACGAGGTAGATTTGTCGGATTTCAAAGTGGGCTGAAGAATCTGGAGAATTGTGCGCGTATCACTTTTGGCAAGAAAATTTAATTTTTTCGACTGTGAGTTGCAAATGAGTTAACTGTATGAGCAATTTCTAATTTCTGTAATAGAAATTCATAATAGATAAATTCATTATTTTCGGGTGATTTTTCTTAAGAATAAATAAAAATTCCTATTCATTATTGCACTATAACTTATAAACATCTAATCCATTGTTTTGTAATACTGATCTAATTCGATGTTCGAAAATTACACGCCTCTTTAAATTGAACATTAATAAATAACGTTTCCAACACGTTTCGTGTTTGAAATAATGTCGCAATTACGAGGCTTGTCCACGTTGTAAGACGAGAATCTTCTAACGAAGAACCAGTGATTCAACGAACTTCGCCGGACAAACTTCCGTCCTAAACGTTCGCTTGACTAGATCGTTTCTAAAACAGGCCAATCCGCCCATTAGAAAGCTCATCGATCACCGTGGAAGCCACCCAAACTGCATCATTCTTCCACGCAGCAAGGAACCACCTTCCATTAACCAACTCTTCCATCCGACCCTCGTAGACTTTAGATTCAACCACCTCGCCAAGAAACGGCCTTCTATATCTATACATCTATGCACCTCTATACAACAGAAAGAGGAAGAAAAAGAGAGAGAGAATCTGAGAGAGAGACGAAATGGAGAACCTCTCTCGAACTCAGCCTCCGAAAAATCCCAGTTTCGCCGGTAATCGCGGTGATTTATCCCCGAATCGCGAAGGGAAAAAACGTGGAGCGCCTTTCGTTCCGGTCCGATCCTCTCGGCCATTCGAACGAAATGATGCGCAGGTAAGAGGGTCTCTATTTTTTTTTTCCCTGCTCCCGATTCACCGAGAACACGGTGCACTCGGTCGTGTCTATGCGCGATGAAAGAGGTGAAGAACATCCATCCCTATTCGATGG